AATGAGTAGCAGGATTGAGATAGAGGAAGTGTCTCTAATGGGTTTAGTGAGAACTAAACCATTGAAAGGGAGAGAACCACCATAGGTGGTCGATCAAGTCTCTATGTTAAGGAGAGTATGCTCCTTAAAGGATGAAGAAGATATGGTGAACCTTTGGTGTCGAACCATTGACTAATATTGGCTAAGTGCCAAAGATGGGAAGGGTAATATATGTTGGTATTACTTTATAAAATGGTTTACTGTTCAATAAGGATATCAAACTTCGTCTATGGGTGGTGGAGTTGTGAGACACAAATCCCTAAGCCCCAAAGTGGAGCCAAAAGGGTGCCACATAGTAGTGGCCGAAGCGAAAGCCAAACGAGTGTAACACGTTTGAACTAAAAGCTCCGACTTGAAAAGTCAAGAGCGGGAGTGGAACTTCTAATGATGTGCTCGAAGAACAAGCAAAGCGAGCAATAAGCGAGTCTCTAGAAAAGTGACACAAGAAGACCAATATATGACACGTGGAAGTGTCTGAAATGGAGTTCAAGATGGACCTGAGATGGACCTAAGATGGAGTCCGAGATGGACCTGAGATGGACCCAAGATGGAGTTTGAGATGGAGTTCGAGATGGATCTAAGATGGACCCGAGATGGAGTTTGAGATGGACCCGAGATGGAGTCCAAGATGGAGTCTGAGATGGACCCAAGATGGACCTGAGATGGAGTCTGAGATGGAGTTCGAGATAAACTCGAGATGGACCTAAGATGGAGTTCGAGATGGACCCGAGATGGAGTCTAAGATGGACCCAAGATGGAGTTCGAGATGGAGTCCGAGATGGACCCAAGATGGAGTCTGAGATGGAGTCCGAGATGGACCCAAGATGGAGTCTGAGATGGAGTCCGAGATGGACCTGAGATGGAGTCCGAGATGGAACCGGGACCGAGACTGAGACTGAGACCGAGACCGAGACTGAGACTAAGATCGAGACCGAGACCGAGACCGAGACTGAGACTGAGACCGAGACCGAGTCCAAGTCCGAGTCTGAGTTCGAGTCCGAGTCTGAATACTAATACAGGCAATTGGGTGAAAGCCTAAAGCAATCGTCCCCCAGGGGGGGGGGGGGGGGGGGGCCTTCCGGGCCTTCCCAAAGTTTAGGAAAAAGAGTTTGGGGGGGAGCTAGTTTGGCCAAGAAAGGCCAGTTTGGCCCAAGAAGGCTATACCCAAATGTTGGGTAACGGGATAACCACTGGGAAGTCCAAAGCTAGAGTGAATATGGACCGACAAGCGGGGTAACTTCGTGAAGTGTTCAAAAGCTGGCTCTAGTTCCCCCGGGAGATCGAATGGTTGATGCTCCAAGTTCAATCGTGGGTGGCACTACTTGCTTGGATATTTGGCATGGCTCAACGGAACCTTGCTCTAAGCCCATGGTTAGAGCACCCAAAAGTGGAAGGCAGAGAGAGTATCTACGAGGTTTGCATAGGGCTACGGTGTTCCAAAATGTTGTCCCAAAGGCCCAGACTGTGGAAAAGAAGAGGAGCAATCCTTTGGTGTAGTGACCAAGGATACAATTGTGTGGTGAGGAAGTCCCAAAAGACTGTGGGACTTAGTGGTCATGCTTGTGGGCCTTGATCCAATGACAGTGTTGGCAAACACGGCCATGGATAGAAAGGGACTTGGTGGGGACCGGAAAAGGGATATTAGGAAAGGTTATTTCCCATGTCTGTAAGCATCTTAAGGATGCTAAGGAGTGGATCTAGGATGATCATTCATGGATGGATGGCTTAGTTTTGAGAGACGGGACTGTGATGCAAGTGGTGTTAGACCACCAGTGTGACCAAGGTGAAGAGGCATGGCCTTAACGTAACGGGCTGATATGTCGGTGGTACCTTGGGGTGTCGGTCATAGGATCGAACATGTGGAGCACTTAGACCAAGTGCAAAGGTTGAGTGACATGGATGCCATTCTCGTGGCTAGCAAGCCCCAAGTCCTGAATTGGACTTAAGGAGGTTGTGAATGAGTGGTCGGAGGTGTAGTTAAGTGACTAAAGTAGAATGGAAAAATTAGTCACTTACAAGTTAGGGCCTTTGGCTTCTCTCTCTATATCCCTGCAAGCAGAGGCGTATCACTTGTTTTGTAAGCTAAATGACATCTAGAGCAGCAAAGGTGGCTAACTCTATTAGTCATTTCCTTGTCAGCGACAGTCGAAATATGTTTGAGTTGGTAGCGCATCTGTGTTAGACAAAGAAGCTACTTTAACTCATTTAAGTTGGTACATTTCTCACATAATGTAATCATCGTGAACTTTGTTTAGAGTTGTTTCCTTGCCGGTAGTCTAGACTCGAGTATGCATCAATGAGGATGTCGATCTTCCCTAAGGGGGGGAGAGTGTCACGAACGTGACTTCGGGTATCGAAAGTTACTTATTGGCTAGTTTTTCGGATATTCTTTCTTTACTGCCATGACAATAGGAGGTCGGTATTGCTATTTCTTTTTTCAGCCTTTGCCTAAGCTAGTTGAGAAACTGGTCTTTGTGTGTGCATTTGATTAGATGAGTATAAGGATGGAATTACTAAGTGCTATTAGTTAAGCATACTTGACTTGGTTAGAGAAACTCATTCATTGACTTGTACTTGTTAGTGTTAGGAACCCTCGGGATATTGAGCTTGATCCCTCACTATTTACTAAATGATAGTTTACCATGTTTGCCAAACACCCTCGTGGGGGGAGGGGGGGAGTTCTACATGTATAATAAAGATAGTGGGTAAATTAAGTATGGCTGACCAACTTAAGGTATAATTTAGTTCTTACTTGCATGCTTAAATAGTATCAACCTCTTACCATCATGGTAGTAAGGAGAGAGTATCTGTAAAGACTAGGTAACAAATATATTTCAATACCCAAAATCACATTCGCGATAAGCATCCTTGGGCATCCTAAGCAGGGAAGACCCTGAAACTTGAGTTTTACTCCATTGTCCTTGGATACATGATATTTGATATATATAGAGTTTAGGTTCCGCTTAATGGTTATCTTATGGTAAAACACCATAGGATAAAGGGTGAAAACCAAGTGTGTTACATTTGTGAAGCTTAAATGTTTACCAAGATTGATCTAGGATATTATCATATTGCAATGGATAATGTGTTTATCTTTAAGATAACATTGAATTGGAGCCTCAAACATTTTGAGTTCACACTTATGTGATATGGTTTGACAAATGCATTAGCCATATTTACTTAGTTGATAATAAATGTGTTTAAGCATTATTTAAAAAAGTTAATGGAGATTTTTTTGAATAATATACTTGTTCTTAGCAAGAATATAAAGGATCATAAAGTGTATATATACAAGGTTCTCTTGTTAAACAAACTTACATGAAGAAAAGCAAATATGAATTTACAAAGGCACATTAAGCCACATTGTGACATCTAAGGGTGTCAGAATAAATCTAAAGAAGATGGTTGTGGTGGAAAATTGGACTACATTAACTTTAATGTTGAATTACGCAATTTCCTTTGTATGATGTAAATAACCAAATAGAATAACTTGAAAAATGATCCATAAAGTCAAATATAAAAGGAAAGGGCCTATGAATAAGAATGCACCCAATTTTCCAATCAATTAAGGGTCTTAAGGTTAAGCATCCTTGGGTTTGAATAGTATTGGGTTAGGTGACCTTCCGAGAAGTTTAAATTTAAGAGTTTATATTTAGTATCAAAGGGGGTTTTAGGTCAAACTCTATTAATTGACATTTGGTAGGTTTAATTTGCTCCAACTAGGCTCGATCCAAAGGGTAGAGTATCAAAAGAGTGAGGCTCTTGAGAGAGTTATAGCTCTTAGCTTTCTTTCATGAGGGCATAAATTTACAGGGAAGTGTAATAGATTGTAAACAACTAAAGAGAACGACTTAAGAAATGATTTATGGGTTCAAATATAAAAGGAAAAGGCCATGAATAAAAGTGCAGCTCTTTTATTAATCGATTAAGGGTTTTAGGATATTTAGGGTTAAGCATCTTTAAGTTTGAATAGTACTAGCCTTTTGAGAAGTTTAAATTCAAAAACTTACATATGACTAGTTATTATTAACATTTTTAGTGCTAGTTTTTAAAGTGGCTAATTACTATTGACATTTCTAGTGCTAGTTTGCAAAGGTTAAGAATATGCCATCTGAATGGAAGAAGTTATAAAAAGGATAGTTTTATAATTGTTAAGCAAGGCTCTAATTCTTTGTATTGTTGATCAAAAATTTTATTAGAAGAATTTAAAGGTTAACTTCCTTGAATATTACAAATTATATGAGCTCTATCAATAGGTAAAGGTGCCACATGAGAAGTTAAAAGGATTTTTACAACCTTTATTTATTCCTCAGCCAATTGGTATAATATCTCTATAGACTTTATCACTTGTTTATTATAAATATAGAGGCAAAACAAGCTAGTGTGGGTTATAGTGGATCAATTATCGAAATATATATTGTTATTAGCTTTCTAGAAGATTGTCTAAACTTGTCCGCAATATACTTCAAAAAGGTATTTCCTGATTTTGGTTTGCTATAGAATATTGTTAGTAATTGAGATTCAAAATTCATCAATAGTCAAAAGGCAGAGATAATAGAATCTATATCTTCCATTAATGCAATTTAACTATAATAATAGCACAATGGAACCCTTTACTTTGAAGGCATCCTTAAACATCATTGGAATAGAAATTGCATTTGAGCAGGGATATTCAAGATAAATTTGATTAAAAAACGACTAATTAGCCATTTAGCTTTTTGATTAATTGCCAATTCCTAGAATATAAAATAGGAGATTTTGTCTTTGTGCAAATGATCTTTCTATCAAGCGAGTGATAGAATATGTTAGTGCCTTTGCAAAAAGAGAAATTTTTTTATAAATTGATCTATATATAAAGTGTTTAATGTCACCCTCAATTAAGTTAAACTTGACATTAAACTTGATATTAAACTTGTTTGCAGTGAAACGTTCGTAATTAGGGTTCTTGAGAAGAGTGAAAAATGGGGCCTCTGGGATCGTCGCTGGCGTCTCAGTTTTGGAATGAGGAGGTGGAATCCACGCGCTCGCTGGAGGCGTGCGTCCGCTCGCTCCCGCGCGAGCCGCCGCCGCTGGCCATGGTGCGCGGCAGCAAAATCTCGCGCTCGCAGCAGCTGCTGCTGCTCCAGAGGCTCCTCCGCTTGCCCTTTGCACCGTCGCTTGCTCCGGATTGTGATTGCCCTAGCGGGATTGTGCTGGATCGCGTGGTTGCCAGCACTGGTGGAACGAATTGGTAAGGCTTAGGCTCTTTTTTCTCTCTATTTTCTTTGCTAGTTTAGTTCAGCAGAATGTCTACTGTCCTTTGCCAAACGACGATGAAGAGGAACTAAATTATAATTCAGGTGGGCGACTCTAACGGGGCGACTGCGAGTCCAGAGACTGTTTGCGAAGCGTTCCGGAGCTAAGTTGGAGCTGAATGGTTTCTCCGAAGCAGCAGCAGAGAAGCAGCAGCAGCGTGATGGCAAGTGGACGTATGCCAAGCGTCTTCTTGACAAATCGCTCTACGCATTGTGCATGCGAACAAAGCTTCTGCTTGGTCCCTCCACGTCGTTAAGCATCAAGGCCGAGATGGACTCGCTAGAGGACTGGGGATCGAGCGAGGTTCCTATGAGAGTTCACTCCAAGCTCCTTCACAAGGTACGCGGGCTCATTTTTTTCCTGGTTTTCCTCTGAGCCAAGTTTTTCCAGGTTGGTTGGTCGCTCGAGTCGAGATAAGAACCAGTTTTGATGCTCTCGTATTGTGGATGCCTGCAGCTCAAGAAGCACGATTTATCACTGGAGGCTGCATGGCACGAACGTTTCATGGACAGAGAAGCTCGTTACTGGGACGTTCCACAGGCTGTCTCACTCGACATAGCGTCTGTGGGATTGAGCTCGGGCTTATACTACAGGCTTGGTGTCCACCATAGCTCGGGACAATCGCAGAATTGCTGCGGAGGGGCCGGAAAGGAGATTCCATGGGGGGCAATGCCTGGAACTTGTGCTCAAGCAGCTGTATCTTATGGGAAGGAGATTGATATCTGGAAGGAAGACGATGCTCACTTTGGTCGGAAGCTTCACAAGCCTTACAATCTTCTAGCTGCTCGTCCACATATCACACTTTCAGGAGTTGTCGGTAAGTCTCCTCCTAGAGGAACGGAGTTGTTATCTTTTTTATACAGGTGGTGTGGTGAATGCAAGCCTTGGACAGAGAAAGCAGCCTCTCAACGCTGCGAATCCTTCGCTGGTGAAATCAAATGGCGATCGCTCCGTCTCGGCCGATGCATTTGGCTCGCTGGGAGTGACGGCACAGTTCGGCCTCTTTCAGAGGTTTCTGCTCGATCACACCAAGTTTGCTGCTAGAGTTGATATTGGAGGAGCTTCTTCCACGGTTTGCGCAAGGACTTTGAGCGCAAAGTCATCATCGCCTTCTCTTGCCGATGGACAGAATGGAATTACGTTCGCTCTTACTATGCAGCAGCAGGTTTGCTCGTCTTTGTTCCTTGTCTTTGTTTTTCGTCTTGAGGACACTTTTCTTGTTTTTGCTTCTCAGGTGCTCGGACCCCTTCGTGCTCGTGCGGATTCCAGATTCTCCCCGGATCTCTCGACGTGGAACGCTCGCCCAGCTCTCCAAGAGGTAACATATGGCTTAGATTGCTCCTTGGAGTCTCTAGGTGCTGCGAAGCTTGTAGTTTGGTACTGTCCGACACGCTCGGAAGGTATGGCAGAAATTCGTTTACTTGAGATATGAAAGTTGGATTGGCGTGGTGGCGATGATTCCCGACGCCAAGACGACGAATTTTCAGAGCGCTCTAACCGAGAAGAAGGTTTGTTTGTAATCGATAAGTAAAGCTCTTTCCTTGTCTCGGGAAAATTTTCGAAGAAAACCAGGAAAAAAATGAGTTTTGAAAACATAACTTTGAATGTTTCTGTTTATTTGCTACAATATTATAAATTCATCTCAGTATTTGAGATGGTCTCTAAGCTTCCGCACGGCCGCTTTCAACGTATCCTCATCCTTGCAAAAGGCAAACCTCACCAAATGCTTGCCATCCTGTGGATCTTCGTAGAAACCACTGGGAGGAATCGCTGCCACTCCCACCTTGTGGACCAGATGCATGCAAAACTCCATGTCGTCTTTGAAGCCAAACGGAGTATGATCCACCATGACGAAGTACGTCCCCTGCGGCTCATAGACCTTGAATCCCACCTCCTTGAGCCCCTGGACGAGGATATCTTTCCTGGCGATGTAAGCGCTCCTCAGATCCTGGTAGTAAGACTCTGGAGCCTCGAGCGCTGCCACAGCACCCCATTGCAGCGGAGTGGCCGTCGAGAATGTGATGTTGGAGTGAGCTTGCCGGATGCCATAGCTGAGATGCGGGGGAGCGATCGCCCAGCCAACTTTCCAGCCCGTGAACGAGTACGTCTTCCCCATGGAGCTCATCGTCACGGTCCTCTCGAACATCCCTTTGATCGACGCGAGGGAGACGTGCTCGCCATCGAAAACCAGCCTGCTATACACCTCGTCCGTGAATGCCAAGACATCGTGCTCCACGCACAAGGACGCGATGAGCTCCAGCTCCCCCCGGGAGAAAACTTTGCCGGTCGGGTTGTGAGGGGTGTTGACGAGGATCGCTCGGGTTTTGCTCGTGAATGCCGCGCGGAGCTCGTCCTCTGGCACTGCGAATCCATTCTCCGGCCTGAGCACCACCGTCTTCATCTTCGCGCCAACCATCGCTGTGACTACCTGGTAGACGTCGAAGAAAGGAGCAAACATGATGATCTCGTCGCCCGGATCGAGCAAGCCCAGAATCGTGGAAGAGATGGCCTCCGTGCAGCCGCAAGTCACCGTGATCTCGGTGTCGGGATCCACTTTCAAGCCAGTGTCCTTCTCAAACCTTCTGGAGATGGCGGCATTGAGCTCTGGAACTCCAAACCCCCGCGCGTACTGGTTTCTTCCCACTGTCCGGAGCGCCTGGATCGCGGCCTCGCGGATGAAATCCGGGCCATCGAAGTTGGGGAATCCCTGCCCGAGATTGATCGCCTGGTGCGTGAGCGCCAGGGAGCTCATGAGCGTGAAGACCGTGGGCTGGAACTGCTCCAGCCGCTTGGAAACCTGGAAAATCTCGCGAGAATCTCATCACAACCATATCGATTGAGTGGAGTGGCAAAATCTCACCTGGAGAGGGCGAGACATCACGGCAGAGGCAGCGGCAGCGGCAGCGGCGACGCCATTCCCCACCACCTCGTCCTTCTGCGCAGTGGCCGCCATTCTCACGCCGCCGGATCGCGGCGGCGACAATGGAGGAGGAGGATCTCCAATGGCGTGCGCGTGACCTAGAGATGAGGCTCGCAGCAATGGCTGGCTATGGCGGACGCCGAATATTCCCGCTAGTGATGAAGAGAGCTCCATTAGAGTCCTTCTAGGACTCCTCCTCATCCCCTCTTCTTCCAAGAACCCAGTATAAAGAAATGGCGATTCTAGATCCAGGAAGAACAAACCTCTCGCGATTCCGGGAAGAACAGAGCTCCTCCTCCTCCAATTCCAGCCCCGGTGGCGATGACGCCGTGGAATCCTTCGCGCAGCAGCTAAAATCCTCGGCCAGATCCCAAAATCTTGGCGAGGGCCGGCGAGTCCACTCCCGGATCCTCGAATCCGACCACTCCGGCAATCGCTACCTGGAAAATCTCCTCATCGACATGTATGGCAAATGTGGCAGCGTGGAGAACGCGCGCCAGGTCTTCAACTCGATCGCTCGCCCCAATCCCTTCTCCTGGACGATCATGATCCAGGCCTACGCACACAACGGGTATCTGTCCGAGGCGCGATCGATGTTCTACGCGCTCCGGGATCCCTCGATCGTGGCGTGGAACACGATCATCTCCGCACACGCCCAGCTAGGGTTCCTCCGCGAGGCGCGCGATCTGTTCAATCGAATGCCGGAGAAGGACGTGGTATCGTGGAACGCGATGATCGCAGCGTATGCCCAAAATGGGCATCTGGGATCCGCGAGAGCGATGTTTGATTCGATGCCGCGGAAGAACGTTGTGTCGTGGAACACGATCATCACTGCGCTCGCGGAGAATGACGAATTGGAAGAAGCCCTAGCGATGTTTGAGAAGATGCCACAGAGAAACACAGTCTCTTGGAACGCTATCATCGCAGCACTTGCCAGGAGTGGGCATTTGGAGGAAGCGCGGGAATTTACGGCCAGGATGCCCCGTCCGGACGTGGTCGCACGGACGGCTGTGATTGCAGCATACGGCGAGAGCGGGCAGCTCATAGCTGCCCGGAGCTTGTTCGAGGAGACGGCTGAGATGTGCCAGGGGGACGTGATCCTGTGGACCACGATGATCGCGGCATATGCGCAGCACGGGTATCTCCAAGATGCCAGAGAGCTTTTTGATCGCATGCCTCACAGGAACGTAGTGTCGTGGTCTGTGATGATTGCAGCTTATGCCAAGTGTGGGCGTGTGGAAGAGGCCAGAGTTATGTTTGATCGAGCTTCTCGAAAGGACATCATCGCATGGAACACGATGATCCAAGGCTATGCACAGAACGGGTATTGGATCGACGCAAAGAGTGTTTTTGATAGCATGCCACAGAAGGATTCCTTCTCCTGGAACGCCGTGATGAACGCTTACATACTCAGCGGCCAGTTCGAGGACGCCGAGGATTTCTTCCAGGAGATGCCGCAGCGGGACGTCGTGTCTTGGAACTCGCGGATTGCTGCTTTCTCTCTGCGTGGAAAGCTTGAGCAAGCGAAGGTGGTGTTCGAGAGGATGCCGGAGATGACTTTGGTTTCGTGGACGAGCATTGTTGGAGCGTTCGCGCAGGCGGGACGAGGGAGAGTTTCGCTGGATCTGTTCCGGAGGATGGAGCAAGAGGGCGTGATGGCGGACGAGTTTAGTCTGGTCACCTTGCTCACGGCTTGCAGCCACTCGGGGTTGACGGAGGAAGCGTGCACAAACTTTGTAGCGATGACTGTGGATCGAGGCTTGAGTCCCGGCGTGGAGCACTACTGCTGCATGGTTGATGCTCTTGGGCGAGCAGGGAGGCTCAAAGATGCTCAAGAGCTCGTCGACAACATGCCTTTCGTCGTGGATAGTATGCCATGGTCGATCCTGCTGGGTGCCACTCGGGTTCAAGGCGATTCTTGGCTAGGAGCCAGCGTTGCTAGCAACGTTGAGCCGCAGAGATCGTCGCTCTATATGCTGCTCACGAGCACCATTTCGTCGTCAAGTAGCTGAAAGGAGTGACTTTGTTCCTGCTGTTACCAGAAATCTTCGCACGAACAAGCTCCTCCTCTGAAATGGTGGAACCTGTAAGCATCTCTCACCACGATCTCCCGTCCCACGAGTCCGGAGATGAATTTGGTGGCACTGTGACAGTCGCTGCAAACTCTCAAGTTCTTCATGATCCTGAGCGGCTCCCCAGCAGCAGTCGAGATCAATCCAAACGCAATGGCCAGCTTCTCGCTGTGCTGACAGAGCAGCGATTCTTTCTCTTTGGCTTGCAAGTCGTATACTACTGCCTTGATGTCGCAAACAAACCCCGCTCGTTTCATCTCCTCGTTCAATCGTTCCAGCTCCCTGTGTATCTCGCTCGACCGAGGATGGCTCGTGTCTCCCACTCGAAACTCGTGTATCCGGCCCTTCACTTCGATCCAGCTGAGTCCTGGCTCTTTCTTCGGCCCCAGCTCCACCATACTCTTCCTCACTGCCGCGGCCTCCGGCCACTTCCCAGCCCCGGCATATAGATTGTGCATCACCAGGTAAGGTCCTGTGGATCCTGGATTCAGCCCGAGAATTCTCTGAGTCGCCCGACCACCACGCTCCAAGTCACCGTGGAGCTTACACCCGCACAGGAGAGTTATCCACGGGAAGACGCTCTGGTCCCCAAAAGGCAGCCTTTTGACGAACTCTTCTGCGTGTTCTAACCATCCTGCTCTGCTCAAGAGATCTATCACGCAGCTGTAATGCTCTGCTTCGGCTGGAAACCCATAGTCCACGTGCATGTTGAGGAAGTAGCTGTAGCCTTGGGCAACCAGTCCTGCATGGCTACATGAGGAGAGAACGCCAATCAGAGTGACGCTACCTGTGTCGATTCCTTCGAGCTGCATTGTCTGAAAGAGCTCAACGCCACGAACGCCATTGCCGTGCTGAGCATTCGCTGCAATCGCCGTGTTCCAAGAGACTTGATTCTTCACGGCCATGACTTGGAAGAAGTTTGCTACTTCTTCCAAGCTGCCACACTTTCCTAGAGTACAAAGCAAGCCGTTAGCTACTTCCACATTTCCGAAGAATCCAGTCTCGGATAAACAAGCTTGTACCAGTTTTGCAGCTGGGATCGACGCGAGATTGCCGCAGGCGTTCAAAACGGCGGTGAAGGTGACCTCGTTGGGAGCAACACCTTCCAGGAGAATACTTCTAAAAATGCGGAGTGCTTCTCTGTTAAGACCGAGTTGGCTGTGGACTCCCACCATAGCGGTCCACGAGATGACGTTCCGAGTGGTCATGGCGTCGAAAATCTCTCGAGCATCCTCCAAGCTCCCCAATCTTGCATACATAGTCACCAAAGCATTCTGCACAGGAGTTTTGCGTGTCAGTTCGCTCTCAGTCAGCAAAGAATGAATCCACTTACCTTTTTCCAAAGACGCACTGCTTCCACAAGCGTTGAAAACTGTCATCAGGCTCACAGTGTCAATCGTTACTCCACCGAGCAGCATAAGCCTGAAGATGGTAAACGCTTCTTCAAACTGCTCGTTCTCCACGTACAGCGATAGAACCGTGTTCCACATCATGATACTTGGCTGGTCACGATCTTGTTCGAGTAGCAAGCTGCTACTAAATGCTGACTTCGGACTCTTACATCTGCTATACATGTTCATGATCGCGGTGCCCATCACCACATCCACTGATTCGATACCACAGCCACCTTCAACTGCAAGAGTTTTCACAAAATCCCCATGCTTCAAGTGAGCTGCCAAAAAACACGCATTAAGAATAGCAACATAAGTTATCCTGCTCGGGAGCTCACCTACGAGTAGCATCTCCCTGAAACACTTGAAAGCCTTGTCGTGGAAACCATTGCAGGCATTGGCCGTGAGCATAGCGTTCCAGGACACAACATCCCGCTCTTGGATCCTCTCGAAAATCTCTTCCGCGTCGTCAACCTTCCCAAACTTTCCGTACATGTTTACCAAGGCTGTTTGCACGACCGTATCAGCATCGCCAGCCAGCTCCCTGGCAAACGCATGGATTCGAAGAGCCTCGGAGAAATCTCTAGAGTGGCAGCACGCGTTTAACGCAGCAACACAGGTGCCTTTGTTGGGAGTGACACCGCCGAGCCTCATTTGTCGAAAGAGCTCCAGAGCTTCATCTCCTTGCTCGTGAGCAACGAGCAGCGAGATCATCGCATTCCACACTGCCGCGTCTCGAACAAGAATTCCGTCGAAAACACCCCACGCACTGTCCAAGTCCCCACACTTCCCATACGCGTTCATCACCGCAGTAGCCACGATCACATCCAGCTCGAGAGATCCACAAGCTTCCACTCGAGCTCGAATAGTATCCACTTCCCAGGGGTGGCCGCAAGCACCGAGAACCGCAACGTAAGTAACGTCGTTGGGCATCACTCCTTGTAGCTGCATTTCCCGGAAGAGATGGAATGCCTCCTTGGGATGCCCACTCCGGGCATTCACGCCGATGAGAGACGTCCAAGCAACCACGCTCTTGTCTTGGATCCCCTGGAACACCGCCCTGGCCTCTTCGGGGCTGCCACATTTGCAATACATGGCGAGCAGCCTGGCGCCGAGAAAATCGCCTACCTCGATCCCGTTCCGGAGAATCAACCCGTGAATCCTCCTGCCCTGCGCGAGATCATGGAGCCTAGCGCACTTGTGGATCAGAGCGGCGAAGGTAGAAGCATCGGCCGATCCATCGTCGAAATATTTGAGCTCGTCGGTCCGATGCTGCGGCGCGGATGTCGAGAAGCTCACCGGATCGATACGAGGCTTCCTCCTGCCAAGAAATCGCCGCGTCATGCCGGGGCGGCAGCGCTGTCTCCATCGCCAGTGCTCGAAATGCCCATAAACCCTAGACCTCAGAAAGATTCTTAAGAATATTCTTTAAAAAAGAACCAATGGGAAGACGCCACTGTTTTATTCCACTTGGCAATGCGGGGTTTATCATCTTGCTTTGGAGAAAGTAGGGTTTATCAAGGAGCGATCTATCAGAGCGATGGGCAGTGGCGGTGGCGGTGGCGGTGGCGATCGAAATGGCGAGCTTGTGACGGTGAAGGGGCTGGCGCTTGACAGGTACATGGGCCGCTGGTATGAGATCGCCAAGATCCCTACTCGATTCCAGCCCAAGGCCGGGATCAACACGCGCGCGACCTACACGCTCAAGCCGGACGGCAGCGTCGACGTGCTCAACGAGACCTGGGTAAATGGCAAGCTGAATCACATCAGCGGCGTGGCCTGGAAGGCCGATCCCAAGAGCGAGGACGCCAAATTCCTCGTCAGGTTTTGGGTGCCCCCGTTCTTGCCAGTGTTTCCAGTCACTGGGGATTACTGGGTGATGGCGATTGGGGATGACTACGAGTGGGCGCTCGTCGGCCAGCCCTCTCGAAGCCTCTTGTGGGTAAGTTCCTTGATGTTCTTGGGAGATCTTTGGATTCAAGTTCTCACTTTCGTTCTTGTGGGAAGGTTTTGGGCAGGAAGCCAGAGCTGAGCGATGAGATCTACTCCAAGCTAATGGAACTGGCCAAGGAGCAGGGATACGATATCAGTGCCGTGGAGAAATCCAAGCACGATGAAAGCTCCGAGACGGCACAGGGAGAGGAGCGAGCTCCCAACAAGGACAGTGGATTTTGGTGGCTCAAGACACTCTTTGGCAAGTACTGAAAACTATACGTTTCACATCTATCTCATATGATCTTCTATACAAGAAACAACGTGCTCTTCTAGATTGATAAATCATAAAATCGCGAACATAGATTGTATTTTCTACTTGAATAAATAGTAGCAGCCTCCATAGCCTGCGAAGCAAAGTACGTATAAACTCAACGATCAAGTCAAGAGTTACAGAAAGATCAATCTATCTCATATTATCTTCTATACAAGAAACAATGAGCTCTTCTAGATTGATAAAATCATAAAATCGCGAACATGGATCGTAATTTCTACTTGAATAAATAATAGCAGCCTCCATAGCCTGCGAAGAAAAGTACGTGTAAATCCAATGATCAAATCAATAGTGGTAGCAGGAGACTTACTGGGATCAGTCGAAGAGATCAAGGCAGTGTTATCAAAGTAACAGTTGTAGTCATAGCGAGCTTTCATCTGGAAGTAATAGTTGTAGACCCAAGAGGCATGCGCGTGGATGTTATCGGGATAGACGCAATTGCCAGTGTACTGGATTGCGGAGCAGTCAACCTGCGAGCACGCATAATCGAGGCCCTTTTGGAGCGAATCCGGAGGAACTGCTGGGTTCGCAACGCACCAGACCTTTCCATTCACAACGCGGCCGCTTGGCTGTGGGGCTGCAGCGCGAGCAAGCAGCACAGACACTGCGAAACTCAGAAAAAATGCGACAACTTTCATCGTTGACGGGATGATCGAAACTCAAGAAAGCTTGGCTTAAAAAACTGTATATATTTCGAGGCTTTTGTTCTGTGTGCCACTCGTATTTTCTGTAAACCCCAGAAAAAAGTGAGTGGCTCATAGTATATTATTTTAAATCCCACATTAAATAATGTCAAGCAGGCTGTGGTTAGCATGAACTCAAAAAAATCAGCTGGATGTTTACTCCTGGCTACACGCTTTAAAGTTTTTAGCTTGCAAGTTTCGTCCAAGCCACGGGAAATGAAAAGCTAGACGAACAGCATGAGATCACAATGAATATCATCCAAGATTATCCTTGCAAGTTCTATATGATGTTGTGATCCAAACCAAGAACATGCATGCTAAGTTTACATAAACTGGATGAAAGCAGGAGCTTGTACACCAGCCAAGCTAGAAACCACGCTCAGCCTTCCCGTTTCGACGTTCCTGGAAAGAACGTTTACCTTGTTCGAGTTTTGAAGCCCAACCACGACCATCTCCCCGGACGAATCAAGGGCAAAATGGCGAGGAAACGAACCACCGACTCGATCCAGCCCCAGCAAGGTAAGGCCACCATCACCCTCAGCGTCTACTCCAAACACCGCGATGGTATCCTCGTCGTTACCACGGTTGGACGCATACAAATACCTCCCGTCTGGCGAAAGAGCCACTTCCGCCGCTAGGCACGCGCTCTTGTTCGCTACGCTATCATCCAGAGTGGACCAGCTCTGGATCAAACGCAGTGCTCCATTCCCCGGATCATAAGAGAGCTGGCTCACGGTGTTTGCGAGCTCGTTGAGCACGTATGCGAATCGCTCGTCGCGGGAGAAGATCATATGCCGAGGACCCGAGCCAGGCTCGAGTGAAACCTCCGGAGTCGCGGCCTCGTCGAGCTCCCCAGTCGAGACGTTGAGAACTCGGACGTGGATCTCATCGGTGCCGAGATCACAAACGAAGACAAACTTTCCCGAGGAGTCCGTGATGATCTGGTGGGGATGAGGACCGTCTTGCCGGGGATTGTTCCTCGGCTCCGTGAGGCCTGGAACCTTGATCAGCGAAACCGACTGCTGGTGATGACCCAAGAGCACACCATGGCCATGGTTGACCTGGAGAACGCCATAGCTGCCACCCCTGTAGTTCGCAAACAAGATCCACTTACCGCTGGGGTGGACGCTGATCGCAGCCGGGACCGAGCCACAAGGGATGGGGTGCCCAAGAGGAGAGAGGTGTGGAGAGAAGGAGAATGCCTCGACAGCGCCACTCTCCACTTCGTTGACGGCGTAGACAACGTTGCCATGCCTGGCCAGAAAGGTGGGATTGGTACCTGATGGAAACGAGGCGATAGAGTGGAGCTGATGTTTCTCCAGCGCTAAGAGGTGGATTTCGTCGCTATAGCCGCCGACCAACAAGAGCTGCTTCGCCATCTTCTGTGAAAAAGAAAGGTAGAGAGGGGCAAATGCTCTAAGCCCATTAGCCCATTGCTCCCAGTGAGGATTGAACTCACGACCTCTCGCTTACGAAGCGAACGCACTACCACTATGCTATGGAAGCCTTACCGATGAAACACCTCAAAACAAGCATATTCTAAACTTAGATATTTCCAATTTGCTAACGAACATTGTTAACTTAGTGCATGTTGTATTTAAGAAAGAAAGTTTATAAATTATACAAAATTAACTTAAATTAGTTAAAGGTAATCTTAATGATGGAATAGAGTTTAAAAGAAAAACGTGGTGGCTTGGAACTCCATGCTCATTGAAAACGCAAACTTCTTCGATTTACAATAGGACTAAGAAGACTATCTCTGCCGGCCGCCTTCAAGAAGCACGAGCCTCTTCCAGGAGCTCGACGAGACTTGGTCTCATGGACCAGGTGGAAGCATTCCATAGGATCAGCCTGGAGAGCGCGATGATCACATCGCCTTTGCGAGCGTGCTCACGGTTGGTGAAAGTCTCTGGGAAATCTCTCAGGAAGTCTGCTCGTCAATGCGTTGACAAGGCCGAGGAGCTCATCCACTCTCGCTGCTGGCTGCTTGCCAGAAGATCGCAAGACCTGCCAAGAGACTCTCGGCGCTGGGATTCTTTCGAATTTCTAGACGCTCAGCAAAGTAAATACAAATATATGATTGCTGTTATTGCACCAAACATGCAATTGGAAAGAGAACTAGATGGACAAAGCCAAAGGAGTCAGTTTGAAATGCAGAAACTGATGGTAACTTTGTAAAACCTACAAACCTGATAGATGATGCGCGTAGATGAAGGATGCGCAGTCTCAGGTTGGGAAATTTCTGAGTTTGTGGAGATCGTGCAGAGTGAATTGTGTAGGCATGTAGCTTCCGCGGGGGTTGCATGCAGGTAAGGAGTGTCTAGCAGATCCTGTTGGAGCTCTGACCGCCTGGCAAGTATGCCGGGATTTATAAGCTTGAATTATTGTCCTGGGTTTCTCACTCCTCTCTTACATCTTGTGTCCACAGCTGGGCAACTGAATGTTATTGATAAAACCATCCCAACCTTATCAATAGTACACCAGCTGGAGGCATAGTACCACTGGGATAGCATAAATGAGAGCTCTCATCTTCTTCAGAGGTCCAAGCCATGGGAAAGCTTGGAGCTCTCGTGGTTTTCTCCTCCTTCCTGTTCTTCTTCTCCTTCTTTGCTCTTTCCTTGGCTCGTGAACTCCCTCGACTTCCTACGCATCTCTGCAAAAATGGCACTGGTTTGATCAGCGCATCCTCTCTCTTTCGGTTTTGATTTTGTGTAACGTTGCCTTTGGTGATTTACCAACAGAGGAACATACGAGGCTCAAGGGCGAGAACAATTACTTTGCACTGGTAATCTACTACACCGAAGGTCCCTTGACGCTCGAAGTCAAAAACTCGTGGCTCAACTATGGGAAATGGGTTCGTTCCACGAACGATTTCACGGAGATTAGATCTCCCAATGGTCTCACCATGAAGGCGTGGGGCGAGTACCACATCACTGCCTCTGGCAGGAGCTGGTCTCCCACTGGTACCAAGGGCTCCTTTGATATTTACGCGAGCGATGGCCAGAAGGTAGTGTATGTCTACTGGGACGTTTCTTATGGTGGAACGGTGGAATGGAAGAAAACCGCTCATGATAGCCGGTTCAAGGTGACGGCCTCAAGGATTGGAGAATCTCGTCTGGATGTGACTATGGTCATCAAATATATAAGAAGCTATTGCTTAAAAGTTTGTGTTTGAGCAATAGCTTCTTATATATTTGATGACCATAGTCACATCCAAACTTGTTGTGTGAATTGTTTATATAATGCTAAATAATCAGCAACTAAATAGTTTAAACTATTGAAGGTGCAACTCTCATGACTGCAACAATGAAACTGCCTGGCAAAAACATACAATAGAAACAAATAAAATGCCTCAACAGAAGAAGAAGATCTATAAGTTTGGTGTTCTTTTTTATTCTGCCAGGGGCTCTCGTCTTCTGTTATCTATCACATTCTTCGTTTGAGACAAATGTAAAATTTCCTGGGCACCCTGCCACGATCAATCAAAGCACAGATAAATCGAGAACACCGCAAAAAACCAAGAATCACAATTGCAAGTGAGTTGTTCAGACTTTTTCGTGCGATTGATGACTTCTCCTGGCCACAAACGTAAGATGCTGTTAACTTTTCTGAAATAAGATAGACTAACAAAAGTAGGTATTTTGCCCTTGTTCCAGTGCCTATTCATGTTTCTGAAAATCTTCCCAAAATCAGCTATACCGCAATAGAAATACACCTTGTTGTTGATCGCCCTTGCGGCCATATGACAAAAGTAGTCATCAAGGGAAACAAAGATGTCGCATAGAACAAGAAAGGTCGTGGTGGGAGGACCTTGAGATCCCCAGTGAGAGGATTCGAGAGAATGAAGCTCTTGCCAAATATCAGTCCACGGGCAAAGTTCTGCGAAGGGTTCCATTTATATGGGCTTTGCTCACCACCTTTGAATCCAGAGTGGTATTTGTGATAGAGAGACTTGAACCATGAGATCTTTCCACTGCTTGCAAATGGATTTTACGTGGGTGTGTAGAAACGCTGCTGGTACGAGAGGCTTTGTCAAGGAAATTACTTTTGCCTTGGATTCATGTGAAAGAAGGCCTGTCTCATGCTACAAGGAGACGCTTGTGGTTGCTGGTCCCAAAACATTGTGAGTGCTGGATTACAAAATAAAATCTTAGAGATTTTCAATGAATATAGCTTGTTGGTTGCTCTCCTTACAATCCTGCTCCCAATGAGGATTGAACTCGAGCGAGCGCACTACCACTATGCTATGGAAGCCTTACATTTGAACACCTTTTAATACAAATTAGGGCTCTTCGCAGCTATGAATCTCATACACAAGAAGGAAATTCTAAGAAGAAACTGCGCTGTACATAATAGAGAACGTCCTGGGGGGTTTCTAGCCATCGTGCTCCTGCTTCTCCTTGGATGCCTTCTCCAGACGATCAGCGATCCACTGCGCGCGCGCCTTGTCCTTCTTCACGATCCGCTCCCACACCTCTGGCTTGGAGACGTGGCGCCCGCTCTGGAGCTGGATTGTAAAACCCCCATTATTCTCGCCCACCTCCTGCTTGCCGTGATCTTCCACTTTCGCGGCCTCCTTGCTGCCGTGATCTTCCAGTTTCACGGCCTCCTTGCTGCCGTGATCTTCCAGCTTCGCGGCGTCCTTGCCGTGATCTTGGGTCGCCGCCTCGGCCATGGCCACCAGCGCAATGCAAGAGAATAGGAGAAGAATCTTTGACACCATGCTCGTCCTGAAGTGCCGACATTGGGAGAGATTTCAAGAGCCAGATAAGAGATCTAGAGATCTAGAGAGGAAATTTCGCCTCTTACCTCGAGCAAATCGATCTCGCTCGCCTCGCCTTGCGCGCTTCGCCCTTCTCCCTTCGCTTTACCCTAAAATATATTCTGGCCTTGAGAGTTTTTAGGGTTTTGGCGATGGCGGGGGCGCTGGCGTGTGTCCAATCCTCGTGGCGTTGCTGCGTAGCTCGCAATCTGGTGCGCGGCCGATCGATCAGCTACAGGAGCTTCCATGATGCGATCCCAGCAATCAAGCAGCAGCCATTTGTCTACAGTCAAGAGGTCTGTCCGAGCGATCGGTCGCGCGTTTCCCAGGATTTATGGCGGCATTTCTCTTGTTTCTTTCTTTCCAGGTCCATGCGCCAATGTGCTCGATCCGAGACTTGCCGTGTGATTTTCCCGCTACTTCTTCTTCCCAGCCCCAAGCTCAGAGCTCGTCTACATTGTCCAAAGGACGCATTCTTCTCGTAGATGGAAGCGCTGTTATTTTTCGCGCCTACTACAAAGTCATGGGTAAGAAAGCTTCGTTCTTTTGCTCTATACGTAAGTCTTTTCTCCTTTGGCAGCCAAGGCTCACCATAACTTGATACCAGAGCTAGAATCTGAGGCCGACTGGGTTTTAACAGTTTTCACAGCCTTCACCACAGTAAGTGCCATGCCACCATTGAATCTAACGTGATTTTCCCTTTGTTTTCTAGATACTGGGACTGCTCGACTTAAGCCCGTCTCACTTCGCTGTAAGTTTCTCGTCACACAATTCCGTGAGCTTACTCGAGTGCTTTAGGTTGTTTTCGATCATAAAGGTGGGTTTGCAGACGAGCAACGATGTAAGACGTGTGTGTGTGCATGTCTTTCGTGGCTGCTAAATTAGTTTTTGCCGTCGGCTAAAGTCATTTTCACAGGTCTGACTTTTCGGCATACGATGTTTCCCGAGTATAAGAAGAATCGTCCACCGACGCCAGACACGATTTATCAGGGCCTCGATCATCTTAGACCTGCTCTTGTTGCCATGGGGATCAAAGTGATAGAAGTAAGTGAAATCAGTCTCTCTGTTTTTTCTTGCAGTGGTGCAACCCATATTTGTTTGTTGCAGGTTCCGGGCGTTGAAGCCGACGATGTGATCGCGACACTAGCAGTCTCAGCTGCGACTTCAGAGATGAAGGTAAAGATGAAGGTTCTTTCTAGTTGTTCTATTAAACGCTTGGTAATCTTGTCTGCTCTTACAGGTACGAATCGTTTCACCCGACAAAGATTTCTTTCAAATATTATCTCCAGATATCCGACTTCTGAGGTTCGTTCCGAAAGGTGCCGGGTATGTTCTTCTTCAGGTATATCTCCTGCTTGACCGTGTTTTCTCTGGAACAGGATGGTTTCGTTTGGCATGGAAGAGTTCTCAGCAAGATTTGGAAGCTTGGAACCAGCACAGTTCGTGGATGTACTGTCTCTTATAGGCGACACATGTGACAATATACCAGGCAAGTACTACCATACGATTGACTCAAGGCTACGCTCCATAACTTGTAACATTGCAGGTATTCCAGGCATTGGCGAGAAAACGGCAATAGAGCTTATCACAAAGTTTGGTCAGTGTCTTCACTACTAGCAGCGTGATTTTCTTGCACAGCTGATGGACTCTCTAATTTTTCTCAGGGTCCGTTGAAAATTTGTTAAAGCAAAGAGACAAAGTGACTACGAAGAGGGCTCTCAAGGGGCTTCTGGCTGACAAAGGCGAGGCTTTACTTAGCAAACGCCTGGTATATAATCCAGTTAAGCATTTCTCTATTGCTTCCGTCCTGAGTTCCACAAGCAGGTCGCACTGAGGGCGGATTTACCATCTTACATGCTACCATTTACAATGGATGATTTTATCTGGCGCAAAGTTCACGTAAGTTGTGCTGTGTGTTTTCTCTTTTCCATCTCAGTGTTCATGGAATGCTTGCTTCCGTCAGGATGATGGCCAGCGGCTGTTTCAACTTCTCAAAGCAATGAGCTCGTTTGTGGACGGCGAAATTCACGTCGAGCTACAGGACCGAATCTTGGGCTTGTGGAAGAAACTGGAAACAAAGCCGTGACAGCGTCAGGAACGGGTTTACTTAGCAGGAGGGAGCCAATTTTTTGAAGGGAGGCTCCTCGAGCTAGAAAAAGTAGCACACGACCAGGACAAGTGTTCATTGGGCATATTCGTTGGGGGTTTGAGCTGGCGGTGATGGCTATGGTACTTCTCAGATGGCCAAGACAAGGGCTTCAAGGTTGATGTTGCGAGGTACAGGTTTTAGCTCCACAGCTCCACTGGGTTGTAGGCTCATAGAATGCGGGAATCCTGGAGCAATGGCTAGCTCCCGGAAATGGAAGAACAGGTCCAAGACTTTGAGGAAAAGAAGCGTTTTGGTCTTGGGGGCTGTTACACCGGCTGCTGGAGACGCTGGGTGGGATTACAGCGAGAGTTTGCGTCAAGGCTTGCAGAATGGCAGTAGTGGTGGAAGCTCGAGGATTTATGCAAAGTGGAAATGGTGGGAAAGGAAAAACGAGAGCGCTCTGGACAAGGACGAAGCATTACCTCTTCCGATGACTTATCCCAATTCAGAGCCACTTCCGAAGGAGGAGGTGGAGAAGGCGGCCAACTGCGATCCTGAGATAGAGGTACATCAGCCCCCTGGGAAGAGAAAGAACTCACGCTCGAGTTTGTGGCTTGCAGAATTGTAAGAACGTTGTGTACCAGTGGACGGGCGAGTGTAGACGTTGCCAAGGCACCGGAGTGGTGAGCTTCTATCGGAAGAATGGAAAGGAGGTGATTGGCAACTGCATCTCTTGTCTAGGAATAGGTGCGCGCCTCCATTTCTTCTTTGCTGCTTAGCTTACGTGAAAACTTCCTTGCAGGATATGTACACAAGCATACCAGCAGAGACGTGGAGCAAGATGAAATATCTTGAGGCCGAGTTCCACAAATCTTTTCGCGAAAATGGTCCGTTTCTCTCCCCCGCATTTTTGTTTCCATTCATTCCTGCGAGCAATAAAGCAGCAGCGGTCCGTTAAAAAGAGAGTTGGATCCAAGGAAGACGCACAAACAGAAAAACTGTGGCGAGAAAACATACTTAGCTGTCAGCTTCCGTTTGCCGTGCCAAGATGTGGCCAAAGCTTCGCCACCCATCATCTTTGCCATTCCATTCGAGCTTGGATTGGATTTGTCTTTAAGCTCTCGGCCGCGAGGATTCAGTTGGAGGACCTTGAATGCTTGTCCATTGTTGTGGATATCCAGCTATGAAACCAACAAAACTCCACCCAACTCGAATCAGAGAAAAAGGAAATAACCAACCAAACCTTTGCTCTTTTTGCTTGCGAGTTGCGACGCCCCGCTGCACGACAAGGCTCAAATCTGTGAGCTTGATCCTGCAGCAGCAAGAGGGGGTCAAATTGGATATGCATTCCCCGGCTTTGCTGTTTTTGGTACCTCTCGCGTTTCTGACTTTTGTGGTATGTGCCCATGATTGGCTGCGGCTGTATACACGCACAAAACTCCCGTAAAACTTGCTGGCTTTCGAGCATGTCTGGCATACTTGTTTTGTCATCTTTCCTTTTGCGTGTTGAACTTTCTTCAGAGCAACGCTGCAAAATCGGCGGATGTCTGTTAGACAAAATAGCAAAAGAAGAAACTAATGTGTGTGACTTGAACCTTTAGCGAATGATCTTTTTGCAGTGAGCAAAGTTCGCAAAGTTCTGTGCGAGCTGACCTCACTGGACTAAAAAAACACCATCTTTTGCTTGGTGTCCACGAAACCAACTTCCATAATCCACAAAATCCGCCTGCAAATGATGAGAGTTAGCAGGAGAAAAAGAAAGGAAATCTTTGCAAAGTCAAATACCACATCCGTTCGTAGAAGTCGGAGGAAAGGACGATGGTTTCGTATTGAACTGAAGCTCCTTTTTCTTCTTCTTTCTGCTCAGCTTGTAGTTTCTAGCTCGCTCGCTCGCTCGGAGTCTCGCGGAGTCGTAGGACGTTATGCTAAAGGGACAAAAACCAGCGCAGCTGCCATAATATCCTCCCATAAATGCAAGCCAAATTGCAGTTTTCGTTGATCTTTCGGAGTAACCCCATTATTTCTCTTCTTGTGCTCACCACCAGGCAGCAAATGCTCCGGCTGTCATAGCCCCGTAACTCTTTCCCTGGAACCACCTGTTCTTCCTCGTCTCTCCATTTTTTCCTCCCCTCATGTTGCTGTATTACGTCGGGCAAGTCTTCTCACTTCTCACAATTCTTCTTCTCGCAATTCTTTCGTTGGTTGGTTCCCAGCAGGAGAACGGAAGAAGGCTTCAGCAGCTTCAACAAGATTTTCGGCAGTGATCCGTAATGGTAGCTTCCACCGGGAGTGGAATTCTTGCCGCGGCCAGATAGTATGGTCCCCAATTCTTACTTTAGAAGAGATGCAAATCCGGAGTCCATGTCTGGAGCGCTGAAGATGGAGCACGATGGCCTCTACTGGGGGCAGCAGCAGCAAATTGATCCACTCGGCCAGAACGTCTATCCTGTGCAGGCATCTGGAAGTTCTCAAGGAACCAGCATCCAGTTCTCTGCCTCCCCGTCTTCTTCGACTCATCTCCAGGCACTCCGGGACTTTATGTCGCAAGGAAACAGCACCGGCAGTGTTCCACTGTATTCGCAGCAGCTAGTGCCACTGCCACCCCCGCTCTTGGTTCCACTGGGAGAAGATTCATCACACTTCAGCAGGTCTGCATTGCCGGATGTTGATATGCGCGGTCAATACCGGGGAGATGTCTTTGGCAGTGAGAAGACCCCGCACAGAACTCAGCTCCAGCGAGAAAGCCATATCCTTGCCGAGCGTCAAAGGCGAGAGGAAATGAACGATAAGTTCTCATCCCTCCGAGCAATGCTCCCGAAATCTTCAAAGGTATGTCTGTAGCCTGTAGAATATATGAGAGGTGGTACAGGGACTAAAAAACCAATTACCTGGCTTTTGCTGCAGAAAGACAAAGCGTCCATAGTCGGGGATACAATAAACTACGTTGTGGACCTCGAGAAGACGTTGAAACGACTCCAAGCTTGCAGAGCAAAGAGAAAAGGTTGCCACATTCCAAAAGAGAAAAGTTTGAAAAGCTCACCATCATCCGACCCGAAGTTGGAGGCCTCGAAAACTGACACTGTAAGTATCGATCGGTTCCCAGGTAGCTCTGTTTCGATCATAACAGTCGTGAACTTATGCTGCAGGTCCAGAGATTGCCAGTCCAGGTCGAAGTTCAAGCGCTGGGAGAGCAGGCTGTAGTAAAACTGGTATGTGGAAAATCGCCTAAGCTTGTTCTGAGAATACTGACAGCATTGGAGCAATGTAAAGTCGAGGTTCTCCAATCTAATGTCACCACCCTGGGAGATATTGCTGTTCATTTCTTCACAATAGAGGTTAGTACTTGCATAGTCCATGAATGAAAAAAAGGGAACTCTTACCAAGTTTTTCAACTCTGCAGCTCACTCCCGGTGTGAGTGCCACAACCGAAGAGCTCATCGCAGCTTTAGAAGCAGCTGCTGCTGCAATGAACTCCTCAACATCCTGACCTGATTGTCCTGGCACCATATAACATGTTCATGATCGCGGTGCCCGTCACCACATTCGATTCCACCTTCAAGAGTTCTCACAATTCCCCATGATTCATTCAAGTGAGCTGCCAAAAATACACGCATTAAGAATACGAACATAAGTTATCCTGCTCGGGAGCTTACCATGAGTAGCAGCTCCGTGGTGGAAACCACGTTAGCATAGCGTTCCAAGAAACAACATCCCGCTCTTCGAACCCCCGAAAATCTCTTCGTCAACCTTCCCATGCTTCTTGCGAAACATAAAGGAGCCTTAGACTTTCGAGAGGGTCTAAGAGCGGGAGATTGCCTCATTTGTCGAAAGAGCTTCAGAGCCTCCTCCCTTGCTCTTGAGCAACCAGCAGCGAGATCATCGCGTTCCATACTGCTGCTCGGACACGAATCCGGTAAAAAACACCCCCGCGCTTTCCATAAGCATTCGCAACGCATCCTCTTCCCTGCGCGAGAGTCGAAATATATGAGCGGCGATCCGATCAAGAAATGGAAGCTCACCCGTCGTCGCTAAACTTTGGACGCATATTCTCAGCTTGGTTTATCACTTTCTTCTTTTTCTTTCTTGTGTAATAGCATATGCTGCTCTATTGAATTGATTAGCCTAACTACATGCAAGAAACACAGGCCACTCATGATAAGAAAAGAGTAGAACTCAATTTGCTGTACAAAAGAACCATATTCTTGAGCTATATACTAAAAGGTGACAATCAAGAACTCGGAGGACTCTCTAGAGCAAAGCACCCAAACTTACCCCTTCGAAAATCCAGAAGCAATCTGGTTGCGGCCTGATTGACATCGCCTTGAAAGAGCTTTTGCGCCACGAGCTCAAGATAACTGCAGAGCGCATCACACCACCTCTTAGCCAAACAAAGCTTCAGACGAGACGGCCTTACTATTCTCCCGAGCAATCTTCCGCGTCTACTCTGTAGCGAGAGGTCAGCACCTTGGCTCCTGCATGGTTTTGTCAGACGCTATTGCCGAGGAACAAACAGAATCACTGCGAACCTGCTGCTGGCAAACGCTTCAATCTCTCGACAAGCACCGCAGCAACTCCTGAAACTTCGTATGATTCTTGTCCGATGTCATTGCATATCGCGAGCTTCACTGCTGCAGCCTGATCGTCGAACTTCATAGGTAGGATCCCAGGCGAATCTAAAAGGTCTAGACCATCGTGAATCGTCGACCACCTGTGCATGGAACGATGCTTATCAAGAATGGAGATCTAAGCTTTACCTTAGCTGACGGGTTACACCAGGCCGTGGTGCAGCTTCACATATTTTGCGTTTCAAGAGCCGATTGATGATGGAAGACTTGCCGATATTAGGAAAACCAACGACTGCTACTCTGACCTGTTCCAAACTATCAGGGGGAAACAAGAGAAAACAAGAGATGCTATGCTCACCGAGCGAGGAAGAAGACCTTTATCCCTTCGCTTCGAATTTATGGTAGAACCCACAGAGCCGGCTTGTCGAGTGAGTTTCATAATCCCCTGTAAAGAGAACTCGCTCACAGAGAAATGAAGTGTTTGCAAAAACTCACCTTTCCTTGCTGGCCATTTGTAAATATGACAGGCATGTCTTTCGAAGCAAAGTATGAAGCCCAAGCGTTTCTATCCGCGGTAGAGATCATGTCTTCGCGATTGAGAACCAGTATCCTCTTTTTTCCACGGATCCATTTCTCAAGCTTTGGAAATATTTCCGGTTAGTAACATGTGCGAAGGAACTTATAGAACACTTACGTCGGGATGACCAGTGGCGGAAGGTATCCTCGCATCTCTTAGCTCCACAACAACGTCGACTAGAAGGAGCTGTTCCTTGAGATCTCTCTCGGCTTTGGCAATATGTCCAGGATACCACTACACTTCGAAAGACGATAGAAGAAGGAAAAAGCGAGAAATTCACAAACCTGGACGTATCTTCCCGTTGTCATGAGCCGATTCATCTCGACATCCACGATCGGCCTCTCGTGCTTGAATGTTCTCACTGCCAGCGACGCTGTAGCCGAAATCCTCGAAGAATTCCGTAGCGACTGCGATAATTTCACCGATAAAGCTCGCGAATCAACCGCATTCTCACCTTTCTGAGCAGCATCCTCTCTCCCGACCTCCATTTCTCTCCCCAGAAGCTGCCGCAGCGATCGCGAGTCGCCGAGCACCCTAAATCCGCGCTCACGACCGCCATAGCCAAAATGAAAAAGATCCCACGGAATAAACCCTAGGGCCTAGGGTTTGTGGTTTTCTTGGGGAGCAAGCACGATGCAGGTAAGTAAGCGCTCGATCTCTCTTCCCATTTCCTCAGCGATTGGTAGCGATTTCTTGCAGGCCAGCGATCGATTCAACATAAACTCGCAGCTAGAGCATCTCCAGGCCAAGTATGTGGGCACTGGGCACGCCGACCTCAATCGATTCGAGTGGGCGGTGAACATCCAGCGCGATAGCTATGCCTCGTACATCGGCCACTACCCGCTGCTCGCCTACTTCGCCATCGCCGAGAACGAATCGATCGGGCGCACGCGCTACAATTTCACGCAGAGGATGCTCCAGCCCTGTGGATTGCCGCCCGAGAGGGAGGAAGAAGCATAGCTAATCAATCTAGAACTCCCCAGAAGCTCGTAATGCGTGTGTAGATCATGGCACAGCTCCATTGTTTGAGATGCCAGGAAGAAGCATCTACCATAGCTATGACTGGAATATGCTAATACATATCGAACGGCTGTAAACAAAAGGATCGGACGCTTACTGTATTGCCATGTGGACGCCATGCTGGCACGATTGGGACCTTGAATTGCGCGGTCGGATGGCACTAGAGCATAGGGGGACCCCCAGCGCCAGAGATTTATTTTGGGCGATCGCGAGAGGAATTTCTCCCAGCTCCATCCATCCAGAGGGAAGATGGCAGGGCGCACGCCTGCAAAGAAATGCTTCCAGTTCTAGCACAGTGATCTTCCCGAGATGAATGCCGCTCCGGCGGGGCCGAGATTTCGCCAGCCGGATGATGCTTGAGGACGATGGAATTCGTAAGTGCCAGGAGAAGAGAGGATTCTTAGCTAGGGTTTAAGCGGATTTCTCTCTTTCAGGTGGGTCGATTCCAGGCGCTGGTGCGAAATGTGGCTGTAGCTCTTGAGAAGCCCAACAAGGAGAGATCCAAATGCCCGAGATGCAAGGGCTCGGGGCTGCTGGCACAGAGAGCGCCGTGGGATTGGGGCCGTGGGACTGTCTCCAACGATCCTTGCTGGTTCTGCGAAGGGTTAGTACTTTACTCTTTCTAGATGAGAATTTGCTCACAGATTCTCTCTGCTAGGATCGGTGTGATGCCTGTTGCTGGTCTCACTGGCTTCTTGCTCGCAAGAGCATCGCCAGCTTTCCACACTCGAGATAGCAAAGCTCCCTCCCAGCTTCCAATCAAGGTGCAACTCTACCTGGGAAAATATCCAGGAACTCGGCCAAAGTTTTCCACGCACAAGGTTTGTGACAATCCAAAGGACTTGCTCCACGACTTTTCGCGAGTTCCCGACTGGCTTTGCGGCGAGGAGTTCCAGCACTTTGAGACGCCACGAGCACCGAAAACTAGCATGGCAAGCGGTGGGACTCTATCTCCCAGGACCAGTCCAGTCACAGGAACACGAAGAGGAAGCTCTAGTCTTTTCCGCACCAAGTCAAGCACACAAGCCCGGCCTGATGGCGGCGTCCCTCGCTTCTCTCGCCAACTTGGGATGGCGTCGAGCACTCCTCGTTCGTCACCACCAGCTTACGGGACAAGGAGTCCCTCGTCTTCACCAAAGGAAAGACAGACACCGGTGGTGTTGATACCAGTTTCTTCAACGCTCGAGTCGCCCAAGGATACCGTGGAAGCTGAAGACGCAGGAGCGCCGAAGTCTGTTCGCTTCGCTCGAAGAAGTCCGAGACACTTCAAGGCACCCAGGAGAGAGAGGAACCGGATCCGAGAGGAGGCGGAGAAAGAGGCCGTGGAGAGAGCCCGGAGGAGCGTACAATCAGTTCCTGGGGCAACCGAGATGGAAAAACAAGACCAAGCTGGAGCTCCAAGCTCAGGTAATTGTTTCTACAGATTCATACATTCGTGCACGATCTAACTTGTTTGGTGGCTTTGTTTCCACAGGTCCAACACTTTGGTCCCTGAACGATCTGAGCAAGCCATCGTCGAGCTGGGCTTGGGCTTCCAAACTCCCTCTGCCTCCCTGGTTGGAGCCCTGGAAACGATCGTCACTGGGAAAGCATTTCTGGGTGAATCAGATGGTGTATGGAAGCCTCAAAGACCGCACTGCTGCACCACTCTCCCGAATGCCTAGTAAAGCATTTCTTTAGAATCCCTTGCTTGTAAGCTTTCTTGGAAAGAAAGCTTAGTTTTAATCATATGAGAGTTTATTCGTATTTTTGAGAGTGGTAGTCAACATCTTTGATTGACTTTCACTGACTTTCATACAGTAATAGATGAGAAACATCCACGAGGCCCTGGATTCAATCCGGTAGATCTTCTTGCGCCGCTGCCGGGGTACCACACCTCTTTGTGGATTTGTGGATGCTGTCCTTGGTGTGACCTGGTCCCTTTTCTTCCATTGCTTGGTGAATTCCTGTGAAGCAATGACACTGTGCCAGGATCTACAAACTCATTACAGCCTCCCCAGATCGTCAAGCTCCAGGCCCACAAAGATCCAGAACAAGATAATCCTCCCCACCCTAGAAAGAAATGGCTCAGCCTGGTAACCATTGCTCAGCCTGGTGGAGAACTTGTGCTTCCAATTTTTCCTGTGTTCTCTCTAGCAAAATGGATAATTGGCACTTGCATAATCAAATTTTAGAGTAATGAGCAGCAAACTAGTTTTTTTCAAATGTCAATTTTTAATTTTTGAGTTTATGTATGGCAATCAAGTTCTGCCACCTCCCAAGAGGGGAGGTCTACCGGGGTGGGCATTTGTGCATAAATTGTGGTAATACACATGTATAATTCACAAAATAATATTTTAAATATAAACTTTTTTTTATACATATACATGCATTGGTGCTGCCATGTATGCATTCTCTAGGTTGTTATATATTATGTAAATTTCAACTTTATGTTAAATTTTTTAATATGTCATTAAGGTTTAAAGCTTTTTAATTGCTTTTTAGATGCTACAAGCTATCATTAGGGTTGTTTCCTGCATGCACAACAACCCTAAACCCAATAAATCATTACAAAAATTTTATGTGCATTAAGATTATAAAAAATTGATGGAACTAATGCTTTATTATGGCTATAACAACTTTAAATGTTTTACCAATGCACTCTGATTAATCAAGTTCACCATTGCACTTTAATTGATTAAGCCTATAATTGCAAACTAATCAATTGAGCTCACTATCACACTTCAATTAATCATATTCACTATTGCACTATAATTGATTGCAATTAAGGTGATATGGTGCAAAAAAGCCACGAAAAATCAAAAGTGAGATCAATTAAAACACCAAAAGTACATTAGAGTGCATCAAATTGACATACACCTTCAAACCACAACAAATGATTTACAACTATATAAAAATGAAAGGAGATAAATAACATAATATCAAATCACAAAATGAGAAAAATAATTTAAAGAGTTATACCTATGCATACATAGTATACCCTATCACAAAAATATTATATATACAATCCAATTTTGATTGCTTATATAGTAATTGAAAAGAAATTGTGTTTTGGAATGCAACTAAAGATTAAAAAATTTCATATTTACACACACAAAGAATATAATATAATAATAACATATTACTAGATATTTTATAATAATTACAATAATTTAGAGATTTATGTAAATTACATGAATGAAACATTATAGTCCATTGGAAAATATAATAATGTCCCTTTAAAGAAAAAAATATTTTTGAGCTTATATTAAAAGAACTTTTAATTTTTTACTTTATCATAAATTTTGCATTCAAAATTCACTTGTAGACATTTAACTATACATACATACATACATACATACATATATATGTGTGAGTGCATGGAATATGGAAAGGGAATACAGAAATGTGCATATCAATTAGCCCAAAAACCCTAGCTTATATACAGGAGCGAGTGGTCCGGATTGAAACCAATCCGACGGCTACCAAAATCCCACTATGCTAATATTAGTATACGGCATCGTAGCCGTACACTTGGCCCTCACATCATCCCCTCCTCTCGGAATAATGGAAGGCCGTCAGGGTTCTCTTGTAGATGGGCCGGAATTTGGAGGAATGTCAGGGGGAGGCATCAGTGGATCTATAGACGGTATTAACTGCTCCTGATCCCTTTGTATGAAGCGTTTTAACCGCTGCACATGCACAATCTCCGGAGGATCAGCATGCTGAATGTCATGCCAAACCTCATAAACTTGTGGTCCAACTTGCCGCAACACCCAATACGGTCCTTTTCACTGCGCAAGGAGCCCCTTAGATAAACCACGTACCATAAGATGGGGAAAACGGACTAACACCAAATCATCCACTTTGTACTTTGCAAGTGGACGATGATGGGAATTGTAGCGCCGTTGTTGTCCCACTTGTACGCGGCCTAAGTGTTCAGCAGACTCTGCTTGGACAAGTGGAAGAATGCTTGTCAAATATTGATCCCATGACCTAGCATTAGGAGCTCGTGGTAATCGCGAAGGTAAACCCAGCTCTGTTGGTAATATTGGATCATGACTATATAGAAGTTTATATGGTGAAGCACCAACAGAACTCTGCACCCCTGTGACATAGGCATACCGAAGAGACGGCAAATAACCATCCCAATTCGAATGCTAAAAGTTCACATACTTCGCAATCATCCCTTTGAATGTTCGAATGAGCCGTTCCACTAGACCGTCTGATTGTGGATGATAAGCACTCGTAAAAGTGTGGCGTATCCCCAACCGAGATGTCAAAACATGAAATACCTCAGCCATAAATGTAGGACCATTATCCGAAAGAATCCGCTCTGGACAAGATTGCTGGAACACCACTCGATTGGGGAGGAAGTATCCAACAGCAGTTGCAGAGGCACTAGCAAGAGCACCAACTTCCACCCAACGAGTCAAGTAGTCAGAAGCAATAATAACATACTCATTGCCAGCAGTCAATTGTGGAAAAGGTCCCATAAGATCAAACACCACCAACTCAAACGGACGAGAAACTGCAATTGACTCCAACCGTCCTTCCGCAGCACAAGGGGGAGTATTACGAGCTTGGCACCAAACGCAGCTACGCACATACCGGATAATATCACGTCGCATCTCTGGCCAATAGAAAGATCTGGGCAGCTTCTCGGTGACACGACGGTGTCCCATATGCCCACCTAGAACAGGAGAATCATGGTAGGCATGGAAAACCGCAGAATAAACACCGAAGGCACCACCAGCCATAAATAATTATCAGGATCCATCCCCACAAAATAAAGAAGGCCATCTTCAAGGCGATATTGAGAATGTAAATGCCGGAAAGGCAAGTCATCAGCAAGTGATGCAGGATTCTCAAACCCATCTCGAAGCCTTCGAATCCACGGCTCAATCTTTTGAGCCTCACGAACCTCATTTAAAGAAGGTAGATCTTGCTCTGCGCCCTGTGGACACTGAACGTCAAGGACAGCAACCGCCGACGGTACAGAATCCTCATCTAGAAAATCCACAGATGCTGGAACAACAGGTTCGTCAGAAACATGAGAAGTGAGTGGAGAAGGAAGAGGAGCTCGAGAAAAGGCATCAGCATCAACCATAGAACTCCCTGGGCGATGAACAACATTGAAATCATATATCTGAACCTTCAAAGCCCATCGAGCCGTATGACCAACCAGGTTCTTCCACTTCAATAATGAAGTAACAGCAGCATGGTCACCTTCAAGTAACGTCCGAGAACCATGTAGATATGCATGAAGTTTCTCGAAACCCCAGACTACTGCTAAACACTCCTTCTCCATCGTGGAGTAGTTCATCTCCACTGGTTGTAATGTACGGCTTATGTATGCAATGGGATGGCGCTGACTAAGCACACTCGAGCTTTCTTGCATCAACACACATCCAAAACCAATGTCAAAAGCATCCATGCGCAAAATAAAAAGTCAAGTGTAGTCAGGATATGCCAAAACTGGAGGAGTCGTCAATAGCTCTTTGAGATTCACGAACGCCCGCTCACAATCCGGAGACCAGATGAAAGATGACGTTGATGACTTCAGCAACGCTCGCAATGGTGTAGTGCGATCGGAAAGATGATCCACAAAACGACCGAGATACTGCACCTTACCCAAAAAGTGCTGCACATCATTCACACACTTCGGAGTAGGGAATTTTAGAACAGCCACAAGTTTGTCAGGATCAACTTGCAAACCCTCACGAGAAATACGGTACCCAAGATAAGTTGTGTCCTTGGACCCAAACACGCACTTTGACCGCTTCAACTTTAAACCAACGTCGCGTAGCCGATCCAACACTTTACAAACATCATGAATGTGCTCCTCCCACGTCCCCTCCGAGTGGATCAAGACATCATTAATGAAGTCAGCAATCACCTCCGGCATATCGCAAAGAACCTCGTCCATCATCCGCTGAAAAGTTGCTAGAGCATTGTTCAAACCAAACAGCATCACCAAGAACTCGTACAAACCAAATGGTGTATGAAAAACAGTCTTAGGAATATCTTCTTCGGCCATTGGTACTTGCCAATACCCAAAAGCAAGATCTAACTTGATGAACCAACGACTTCGCCCCAGACGATCCAAGAGATCAGCAGTGTGAAGAAGAGGGTACACGTCCGGGATCGTCACTTCATTTAACGGACGATAGTCGATGCAGAAACAAATACTCCCATCAGGCTTCGTCACAAGATGAGGTTCCCATGCCCAAGGACTCCGCAACTTCTGAATAACACCCTTCTCCAACATCTCCTTGACGTTTGCACGTAAAATCTTGATCTCCTTGGGTGACCGACGACGAACAAGAACCTTGATTGGACAAGCATCCCCGGTTGGAATGGGATGACGTGTGGCAATCTTGGCCCCAAACGATAGGTCAAATTCAAAAAAATCAGAATACTCCTTCATGAGCTGGTCAACAACTGCAACACAAAGATCATCGGAGGGATCAGAAAAGGGAAGAGCAGAACAAAATGGAAACACAAGACGAAACAGTGGGGGAACAAAAGTAATGGAAGCAGAGGTAGAAGTAGAGGGACAAAGAGGTATGGAAGTGAGAGGAATGGATGAAACATAAGGAAGTATGAGACAAGGGGGAGAAGCCTCAAAATCACACTTGGCATGATTGCACTGCAACTAATCCATACCAAGAATGAGGTCAAAAGCTTGACTCGGCACCACCCGCAACGACTACAACTCAAGCTCGAGATCGCCCACACGCACAACTAGGTCCGCCTCATCTCGTGCAT